ATGTGGTGCTGAGGAATCGAACCCAGGGCCTCATGCTTGCAAGGCATGCACTCTACCACTGAGCTACCTTCCCAGCCCAAGACTCCCAATTCTGAACTGTTATCTGAACTGTTATCGTAATAGATGATGGGGGAATTTTCATCCAGTTCCAAGAACTCTACAAGTGGCAAGTGATGGATGTTAGGAAAGAGGAGAAGAAAGGAAAGAAAGAACAGGCTAAACTCAATCTTAACAGGCTAGGACTGTTCATTCCCAGCAAGGGACACAGACCTTCCCATGGGTTTAGAGGTTTATATAAGGAGATGGGCTCAGGAATGGGGTTTTATGGTGTCTAGCAGGAAGGCAGAGGTTAGTGAAAAAGCCACTAGGTCAAGGGAGGTGGAGGGCTCAGGATGGAATATTTACAGGCAGGCTTAGATGGATTGCCCTGCCAGTGTCTAGACAGTCTATACTTATGGCCTGCCTGGTATCTGTATGAACCTAGCTAGGGAAGCAGGGTTGGAGTCAGTAGAGGACTTCGTTTGATCTGCAGTTGTGTTATGGGTTGTTAAAGCACTATAGGGGTGATATTTTCTTAATTGCAGGTGTGTCATGAGTTGTGTTGCTCCAGAGAATACTTGCCCTTGGTTGTCCTAGTTTGTTCTCCCTAGATAGCTTGCTTCAGCAAAACAGGCTAGTCCCCATGCCATGTGCCATCTGCCTTGATGTGGTTCTTGTTTTTAGAAGCTTTGTAATCACAGTATTCAGCACTGCAGATTCTTTTGAGACGCTAGTCCACTTGCCATTGTCAGCTTTCTAATAAAGACTCCCAATTCGACCTCTTCAAGTGTGACTTCTCTGTATCTCCACTGATCGAATTCCTGTACAACAGCGGAACCAGGACCTGCTCCGTAAGTTTACACAAGAAGTTCTTAGAACCAGGGGTAAGTCCCTTCACCCCTGCCCCCCGGCTCACCATGTCTTGTGTCTCCTGACTCTTCTGCTGGTCACCACGCCGTCCCTCTTCAACTTTCCATTAAAATTGGTCTGGTCTATTGACATTGTTTTCTGCTCGTTATTCTAATACCCTCTGTTAGGTTTATTAAGTAGCCGATGAATGAGAACACCACACTGTTTTCAGGCAGGAGAATTTATTTTCCAAACATTCTGCCCCACCATGCGGGGTAGAGCCACATGGCCCAAGGGGGCCCACTGGTGGGCCCAGGTTTATCTAGGGCTGGGGTAGAGAGAAGGTGGGGCCACACCAGATGAGGATATGACCTCAGAGAAGGGAGAAGTAACTGCCTCCAGGTAGGCCAGTTACCTAGGTAACCCAGGTACTGGGTGGAGATGTAGACAGGAGGGGAGAGTCTGCATGGCCCTTCCTGAGTCGACCTACCACCCCCTTAACTCAGTTTCCTAGACTATTATACAAATTTTAACTCTTTGTAGATGCAGAGATGCATTTAATGGTGGCGGGGGAGGGGCAAAGGGGACAGGGGAGAGACACAGATACACAAAAAGAATGATTTCTTCTTCTTTTACAGTGTGCCCTCAGAAAGATTCCAGCTGGTGTGAACTTTCTGCAGAGCTTGATTATGCTAAGATGGATATGTCATCAGCAGCAGCTAACACTCTGGTCTTTCAGGGTACACAGGAACAAGAAAAGATTGTGATGCTGGAACCAAATGAAGATCAGTCTTGGGAGTATGAAACCAGGCTACCTGGGAACCCCTCTACCAGTCAGGAAGTCTTTCGCCAGCGCTTTATAGGCAGCTCTGCTACCAGGAGCCTCCAGGTCCCGGGGAGGCCCTGAGCCAGCTGTGGGTACTCTGTTGTGATTGGCTGAGGCCAGAGAGACACACCAAGGAGCAGATCCTGGAGCTACTGGTGCTAGAACAATTCCTTGCCATCCTGCCCGAGGATCTGCAGTCCTGGGTGCAGGAACATCACCCTAAGAGTGGATAGGAGGCTGTGACTGCGCTGGAGGACTTAAAGAAAGGACTTGAACCAGGTCGGCAGGTGGGGAAGGGGCATTGGATCTGTGGTGGGAGCCAGATCAACGAGCTGCAGGCTGGACAGAGGGGCAACAATAGAGGGAGTTGCCAAGGTAGAACAGTTAGTATGTGTTTCTGTCTCTGTCTTTTCTGCCCCATGAATGAGAAAGAGGCTCCCTAAAGTCTCCTTGGAAACTTCAGTCCTGATCACCTGCTGGTTCCATGAACCTATCCGGAAAGCACCATTGGAGAATGCACCAAACATCCAGCTGCAACCGGAGGAAACTCAGCTCAAGTGTGAAACTCAGGAGACACCAACTGATCCAACGGAAGTGTGAATCTCAGGAGCCAGAGCCTTCCCTGAAGAGTGGTGAGCCGCAGGGCTAGGTAGGAAGGGAGAGGGGCTCTAGAGGGCACAATGTTTAATACCTTATCAAGGACACAATGTAGGTGTTTGAATGTTTGCTCTGATCATCATGGCCTTACTATTCTTACCTTTTAAAGACTTAGCCTGTCTCATTACCCATAAAATTAGGAATAACTAACCTATCTTGGTGTAGCCTGTGATAGAGTACTTAACATACAAGAAGCCCTGGAGTCAATCTCCCACACCACAAAATAAAAATAAATAGCCCAACTTACCTAAAGTAGCTCTGTGGATTACGTTGACTATAAAGGCTACCTAGTGTTTCTTAGCTTTAAAAGGAGCACTAAGCCGGCACCGGTGGCTCATGCCTATAATCCTAGCTACTCAGAAGTGAGAGCTGAGGATCAAGGTTCAAAGCCAGCCCAGGCAGGAAAGGCCATGGGACTCTTATCTCCAATAAACCACTCATAAAACTAGAAGTGATACTGTGGCTCAAGTGGTAGAGTGCTAGCTTTGAGCTGAAGAACTGAGGGACAGTGCCCAGGCCCAGAGTTCAAGCCAACAACAACAACAAAAAAAGGATCAATAGGCTTGAACAAAAGAGCCCTGAGTTCAAGCCCCAAGACCAACTATATAAATGAATGACTAAATAAAAGGAACTCTAAAGCTGAACCACAAAATATTCCATTTACTTCCTGTTTCATTTCTGCTGTTCTTGGTATTTTTTTTTCTTTCACAACTGGGGCTTGAGCTCAGGACTCGCTTGGCTTTTTGGGGGGGTCCAGTCGTGGGGCCTGAACTCTGGGCCTGGGCGCTGTCCCTCAGCTCTTCAGCTCAAGGCTAGCGCTCTACCACTTGAGCCACAGCGCCACTTCCGGCTTTTTTTTTCTTTTTGCTTATGTGGTGCTGAGGAATCGAACCCAGGGCCTCATGCATGCAAGGCAAATGCTCTACCACTGAGCCACCTTCCCAGTCCTCACTTGGCTTTTTGTTCAAGGCTGACACTCTACCACTTGAGCCACAGCTCCATTCAGTTCAACTGTTCTTGACATCTAGTTCTACTGACCACCCTTGGGATCCTTTATCTTTTACCTTCCTTATGATTTCCCAAACACGCTTTTTTTTTCTTCTTGTTTTTAATGTTTGTTTTTTTATATGCTTTTATTAAGGTGTTGTACAGAAGGGTTACATTTCACAACCAAGCATACGTTGACAATCCATACACTTCTAAGGGTGAGACCTCCCCCACTCCCATCCTCACCCATACCTACCCCCTACGCCCACCCCCATCTAAAGGCCTCACTTGAAACTCTCATGTCTACACTTCTAACCTTCAGATTCACTGCAGAGCTGCATACACTTTTCACAAACATCTCCCTTCTCAAAATAAACACTAGACTTACTCCCTCAGGAATGAACTGGCCCCACTGAACTCTGTCATGTTTGTTGCTAATCAAGAAGATTCTAGTTAACCTTTAGTCTTGCACCACATCATCAAATAGAAGCATTTGAACACGCAAATTCCTGTTATGACAAAATTGGAAAAAGCTAGAAGTAGAGATTAATATCAGTCTGTTCCCAACGTTTATTTTACCTCCCAACTCTTCTTCCTTTCTAGCCTCTTTCCTGTCTCCTGTTTAGTAAACCTCTATTTGCTTTCTCACACTGATGCTTCACTTTTTTTAAATTAACCTTGGTATATTTTAGGTAGGGTCTTGTTTTCACTACCTGAGCAGCCTCGACAATCCTCTTACCAGTGCCTCCTATTGTAGCTGGGATGGCAGGTGTGAGCCACCATGACCCGCACTTTTTTTGTTGTTGAGATGAGGTCTCCCTAACTTTTTTCCTGGACTGGCCTAAACCGCAGTCTTTCCCATCTCTGCCTCCCAAATAGCTTGGAGTTCAGATGTGTGCCATCACACCCAACACTATATATATCCTATTTCAGATATGTTTTTTTGGTTGCATAAAAGCCACCTAAACTGTATTTTTAAAATCAAATACTTTTTAATTACCCTAAAGGAATTGCCTTTTATTCTCCTTAGGCTGCAGGGAATGTTAAAAAGTAAGCAAACTGTACACTTCAGAGGCAAAGCATTCTTAATTTTTAAGGAGGAAGTCAAAGGGCAAGGCAGAGAGTACCAAGCAGATTGAGGGGGTGGGGAGTGGTGCAGGGAAGCAGTAGCTGAATCTTCAAGGAGACAGCTGTGTCAGGATTCTCTTCAGTGGCTGAAGGAAGATGAATTAGGAGAGGTGAAAATCACAGAGCCATGAAGGGTGGAGTCTTTCTGCTTTTAGGATCATCTCCAACCTTAACTCTTCTTGCTTATTTTTTCCCTTCCTTGCCAACATCAGTTGACCACTCACCAGTTTCTCTTCTCTCTCTGTCTCTCTCCTCACCCTCTCTCTCTCACCCCTTCATCTCTCTCCTTTTCTCTTCCCCCCCCTTCTTTTCTCCTTCTCTCTTTGTGTGGTACTGGGACTTTCTCAGCATTTTATTCACAGCCAGAGCTCTACCACTTAAGCCATACCTTTGCTTCCAGCTTTTCGCTGATTAACTAGATTTGTCTGCCCAGACTGGCTTTAAACTTCAACCTCAGACCTCAGCCTCCTGAGTAGCAAGGATTACAGATGTGAGTCACTGACACCCCCATCCTTTTTTCTCTTATTTAAGAGAAGTTGAAAAGAATCTTGCTTTGAAATTATTTTTCAAATGATACTTTTTTAGTGTTCCATTCTGGAAAGACTAGATGGAGGGAGCAGGGAACAGATTAGTGGAGGAAAGGAAAAAGAACTCCTCAAGCAGGGGCTGGTGGCTCACGCCTGTAATCCTAGCTACTCAGGATCTGCTGGTTGTGGTTCAAAACCAACCCATGAAAGTCCGTGAGACTCTTATCTCCAATTAACCACCAGAAAACTGGAATTGGAGCTGTGGTTCAAAGTGGTAGAGCCCTAACCTTGAGAAAAATGAGCTCAAAGACAATGCCCAGGCCCCTGAGTGCAAGCCCTACAATTGATAAAAAGACCACCACTGGTCAATATTCTTCCAGTCTTTGTTATATGTAAAACCAATATTTTAAGCTCTTATTCCAGAAGCGTCCATTCTAATCCAAATGTCATTTTGCTATATGGCCAGAACAGGTATACTGCAGTTTTCCATCAGTTGTTACAGTGGATGGCCCAGAACCCAAAGAAGCAGGATTATTGCCACAGCCACCAGTTACAAAAGTAGAATCACAGGTGCTCTCAGAAATACTTGCCACTGACATCTCAACAGTTAAAGTTACCTGGGAAATAGAGACCACCTTAAAACAACAGCAGAGAAGTACCAGAGCAGAGAGACCAAAGCGGTCCTCTGCTCAGAGAGAAAGTTCCAGACTGATGGTGGTCACGCCTAAGAAAACTCTCATGGGGAATAAAGACTATGAAGGCAGTAAATGTGGGGAAGCCTTCATTTATAGCTCTCTTCTTGCAGTCTACCAGAGAATCCAGTCTGGAGAGAAACCCTTTCAGTGCAGTGACTGTGGGAAAACTTTCCATCACAGATCAAACTTCATCCAGCACCAGAGAATTCATACAGGAGAGAAACCCTATAAATGTAAGGAATGTGGGAAGGCCTTCAGGTTGGGTACCCATCTTGTTAAACACTGGAGGACTCATTCAGGAGAGAAACCCTACAGGTGTGGTGAGTGTGGGAAGGCCTTCAGCCAAAGCTGGTATCTAAGTCAGCATCTGAATGTTCACAGTGGAGAGAAGCCTTTTCGATATAGAGAATGTGGCAAGGCTTACCAGTGGAATTCAATGCTTTTGAGACATCGCAGAGTTCATGCTAGCAGAGAGTTTCCGCAATGTGCTGAAGATGGCAGAGCCTCCAGACAGACTTGTACTTTTGTCTAGGCATCTTAAGGCTTTTCCGGTCTTTCTGGATTAGGAAAAACTGTTTATATAGTCCTACCTGTGTATTGTCTCACTTTATGTTCTTTGATTAACATGAATGTGTCCATTAGGATGCCTTTGGCTGTATATGATAGCTACATTGTGCCGTTTCCCCTTATTGAAGTCACCTTGGACAGGTTCTGCACTGTACAGCAATAATGTAAGGACAGGGATGTACACTTGAGAATCCTTGCCCTGCCCCAGAGAAACTGCTTAGTGACAGTTACTAGCATTTTTTGTGGATGGCTCTTTGGTCCTGGCCTTTGCTTAGACCCATGGAAATATGTCTTCTTAGGCAACGTCACATCTGCAAATGTCCAGGCAGGACACAGAAATGACTCCTGTAATCAGAACAAGGAATGTTTAATATAAGTGATATTAACAAGTAACTGGATTATCTGGTAGGCAATCTCTGAGGAATATAGGAATACTTCAATGCTGGTAGCTCACACACCTATAATCCTAGCTACTCAGGAGGCTGAGATCTGAATATCAAGGTTCAAGGCCAGCACAGGTAGGAAAATCCATAGTTTTTACCTCCAATTAAGCACCAAAAAAGCTAGAAGTGGCGCTGTGGCTGAAGCGGTAGGGTGCTAGCCTTGAGCAAAAGAAGCTCAGGGATAGCCGGGCACTGGTGGCTCACGCCTGTAATCCTAGCTACTCAGGAGGCTGAGATCTGAGGATCGCGGTTCAAAGCCAGCCCGGGCAGGAGAGACTGT